CAAACATTTTTCAAAGTGACCATCAAGTTGGAGTTAACCGGTCAAAGTCACTCGAGCTGAACTTTCAAATAAAGTGATCAAGAACTTGGAAGTTCTACCGGTCGAAAACAATTGAGGAGTGGCCTAATATATCTACCGGTCAGAATATCTAACAATCATGAAGCAAGCAGATATGAAAGATTAACCGGTACAAAAAACAAACATGCACTCAGAGAAAATAGGAATGTTAAGTGTTTTACAGCTACACCGGGCATTCCCGGGGAAATGAAGGAAGTTTCCAGTTTACAAAACAACCGGTCCGAGCCGGGGAGTTTTACTCAAGAGGGAAAGGGGGAGTGGGCTCTTCCTCAGGAATGGGGGCCAAGCCGTAGGATGCAGCACTGAAGCCCGGGTCTCTTTTGAGTAGTACTCGGTGAGAGGCAATCCGGTCCTTTTTCTGACCACTCTTGAACCCAAAGGATCCGATGGCAGTGATCATTTTTCTCCCTTCAGGTTCCCGGTATAGGAACTTGAAGGATTCCATGGTCGCCTCCGGCGTCGCCGTCATCACCCGGGCAGCATCGGCTTTGTTCTCTTCAACCCAGGCGGCTGCGCGCCCGGGGAAGGTTTCTTCCTTCTCCGCCATTTCCCTATTGGCCTCAGAAACTTCATCCATAAGCCGGCCGTTCTCCTCCTTCAGCTGGTAGATCTCCGCCTTCATTGTCCCGGCCATACTAGACAGACGGATCAACTCATCTGCCTGATTCTTCAAAATCAGGTTCATCTCCTCTTTTTCCTTCCTTAGCCGGGCAATCTCCGAAGGAAATCCCATCCCCAGCTGTTCAACTGCATGGGGCCCGATTTCCCCTTTCTGCACAAACAAAGGGCCCGGTTAAACCATTACAAAGGAAGAAAAGTCTAATCCGACCAGGATAAGAAGAAGCCTTACCTCCTTCAGCCTCAGGCCCAGGTTGACAAAAGCCTCTTCAATGGTCTGGGAGGCCGGCTCAGGGTCTGACCTTGCCCTCTTCCTGGCATAGGAAGGGTGCGTGGTGGCCACCTTCTTCACCCGGCGACCGGCCTTCTCCTTCTCCTTCCCCTTAGACCGGTTGTCTTGGGGCTCATCTTCATCCAGGATTTCCACGGTCTCTGGATTGACCGGGAAAGTCCTGGCAGGATTGGCTTCGGAGCCCCCGGTCTCCCCGGCTGGTTGGTCGTCAGGGATGGCGAACTCTTCGAACTCCATATCTGCAAAAGAAACTAAAA